ATCAGCACCATCATCACAATCATCATCATCATCATCATCACCATCGCCATCAGTATTTTTAAAAACAATGCGGCAGCACTGCGCCCCGGCCGTGCCCGGACGCTACCCAAAACCAACAGCCGCCTATGGGCGCTCTTCAAACAATGAAAAGGCACGCACAAGTCAATCAACTAAAACGACGAACCCGTTGGGGTCTGCGACACTTTCTCACATTCATGGTGAAAAAGGAACGAACGTGTGAGAACACTGCATCCTGCAAAGTTTCGTCTTCGTACGCAAATTGCAGTACCAATAGGTTTCAGCATTTTCTAGCAACAAGCCTACAAAAACAAACGACAAACCCATCGCGGCGGCAATCTTTCCAGCTTCCTTGTTCTTGTTCTTGTTGCTCTGTTGCTGTTGCTGGTGCTGTTGCCGGTGCTGGTTTTGCTGTTGCCATTTTGCCGTTTTGCCGTTGCCGTTGCCGCCGCCGACCTAGTAGCCGTCGTGGTGCTTGTGGTGACGGCGTAGGAGTCGTCGTTGTTGTCATGGTCGCAGTTGCTATGTTTGTGTCGATTTTGCTGCATTTAATGTCGGTGTCGATTTCCAAGGTGCTGTCGTCAGTGTGGTTGTCGTCGCCGTCGGTTTCCATCATCATCAAGCTGGTTTCATGGTCCCTCGTGGCCCCTTGCAGGAAACCGGGCCTTTCTATCGAGTTCCGGTTCCCGGCGACGTCGCCGCACTCCCAGCTTCTGAAATCATTGCAAAACGAGGGCGAATGCACGGGCCCAGCGACAGCTGGACTTAAATCTGTTGAAAACCAGTGACAGAAAGACGTGTGCCCCAACAAGCGGTCCTCACACCGAAGGTGAAGGTAGTAAGGTGAGCTGAGAAGAAGACGCACAATTGGTAGGCCACACTGTGCGGCATCACAATTTCTGTTTTAATTGTATTGTGAAGGCGTAAGTGGCATCGTTGCGCAAACACGAGCATGACACAGCCTGGAGTACGCCCTTGTTTGAACTTGGGCGCGAAGATGAGCCAACCGGTCTGGCGATGCCTTAACCCAGGGAACATGCGTTGCAAAAGGTGGGGTGCGGGCAGGCCTCCGTTGTAACCTTCCCAGGGCAAGAGCAATGCAACCATGCAGCTACATTGTTTTTGTGATTATGGTGCTGTTTTCAACTGCTCTAGGCTTCCAGCGCTAGGGTAGTGTTGCTGGAAACACCTCGACTGCTGTCGCATTCTTGCTTGATGACAGCCTGTGCGAAGTTGTTTCGGGTATTGGCAAGTCATTCGCATCGGCGCCCCCGACGTTGCAGGTCACCATCTCTGGAATTCGGAGGCGACCAGAGCTCAATGGCTCGCGAGGGGAGGCCCAGCACATGCAATGCTTGGTGCAGCTCAATGCAACGCGAAGGGTTGATAGATGAATGGAAGCCTCTTTAGTTTGCCGATGTTACCCAGACGGACCAATCGATGTTGCACAGACGGGAGACGATGCGAAAGGGTATGGTGTGTCATCCAATCCACTGTGCAGATAATGAACGACACGCCAGACGAGTTTGGCCGCGTTACTGCCCGCAGCTAAGCTGTGCCGAGCCAGCGCTAAGCCTTACCTCTGGTTAGTAGGGAATGGAAGAATGGTAGTAATAGTAGTTATAAGTGTACCCCATTCCTCCATTCCCTACTAACCAAAGGTAAGAAGCTTGCTCGCTCGGGAAGCATCACTTCGCGAGTCATCTCACGGTGGGGGCGCGTTGAAAGGTCTGACTCGAGAGTGCTTCGGCAACCCTAAACTCCAAAGCCTATAAACCCTATGAGCCCTATAAACCCTATAAACCCTACAAGCCCTATAAGCCCTTTAAGCCCAAAAGCCCTAAAACCCTAATATTTACATCGACTGGGTGAGGTGAGCGTTTTCGGCGACGCTGCTGGGCGCCGGCCTTAGGCTGCTTTGAGCTGCTGCTCTTGCTGTCGGTTGCTGTGATATAGGTAGTTCTCTAAATTAGGGTCCCTTTTCGGGTCCTCAATATAGTACGGCACCCTTATAAATAGACCCTAAAAGGGACCCTAATTTAGAGAACTACTCATATCGTAACGCTTGCTTCTAGAAACTTGTTTTGAACGGCAGTCGCAGTTGTAGTGCATGCCGTCATGCTTGTTTATTGTTATCGCTATTCCCGTTGCTATGTTCGTGCTGCACCTGCTAGTTTCAACGATCGAGATCCTGCTGCAACTCTTGTAGTTTCATCGATGTGCGACTGTTGCGCTTTTTATTGCTGCCGTTCTATGTTGTTTTACGACAAAGTGAAAATGATGATGAACATAATGAAGCAAAAGATGATGATGAGGATGAGGATGAGGATGATGAGGATGACGGTGGAGGTGATGCTGATCATGATGTCTGCCGTGACCGTAGTCATAAAGAGTATCATGAAGCCCATGCAGGTTCTGAATCGTGATGGTGATGAAGATGGCGATGTGCTGCCATGGGGTGATCATGCATGCATCGGGGTGAATCCAGAGGCAGGAGGGCGTATCTGAGTTTGTTGCACGCACCGAGGGAGCGTCGGAGGACTGGCGCTGCAGAGGGGACGACTCTGCGTGGATGTAGGTTGTTCATTCCTGATCTTGAAAAGCCGTCGGGGTGCAACAGAGGCACATGTTTCTACCTACCTACCCGTCGATCTATCGACCTACGTAGCTAGAATCCAGCTGCCCATGTGTATATATGCAGCGCCTGTATGTACATTAATATTAATATTAATATATAAATATATATATATATATATATATATGTATGTATGTATGTATGTATATATATATATATGTACGTATAGTGCAGCGCATTATATATATATATATGTAAACACACACACACGCACTAAAAGTGAAATCGATGCTACGTAGTACTGCCAACACTAACCGCATTTTCTGTATAATCTTTCGGCAAAGCCTTGCTCAGGGGCCTACGAGCATCGTGACCACCATCATCATCATTATCTCCACCGGCATCATCACCACCATCATCATCATCACCACCACCATCGTCATCACCACCACCACCACAGACATCACCACCGCCATCATCATCATAATCATCATCATAATCATCACCATCATCGTCATTATCACCTTCGTTTATGAATCGTTGACATCATGGGTGTCATCATGATCTTCGTGGTCATCGGCACCACCACCACCACTACCACTCCCGCCACCACCACCACCATCACCACCACCACTGCCGAAGCCAGCAGCTGCACCGGGACAATGAGTATGGCCGTGAGGACCAGCATACCATGATCATCATCATCATCATCGTCATCATCATCGTCATCATCATCAGCAGCAAACTCATAGACGACATAATTTCGTTAAACCATCTTCGCATTAGACTCCAAATAAGAAAACAAGAGCAACAATCATAACAGTCGTGATTGTCATCTTCTGTGAATGCCGCCAGAACAACAAGAAGAACCAGCAGCGGGATAGAGATGCCCGACATCTGGCTGGGTCGAACTCTGCCCCAATCCATGTCGCAGAAGCCGCAACTGTTGCTTGAAGGATGAAGATTCAGCCCCACCGGCCGGGAGCCCGGATTCCGATCAGGTAACACTTTCTGAAACAAAGGATGTGTGGGTTCTCTGAATTAGGGTCCCTTCCACGGATTCGAGTACGACACTGACGTAGTTTTGGGGAGGACACCCAATACCCATTTACCTGTACATACAAAGCAATAGTAATGTGCAGTACTGTGTAATCACTGTGAGTAGCTACCGTGCCGCAGCACATGACAATACGTAAAGTTGCAAACGAAGCCGAGGTATGAGTGTTTAATTCCTCACAGCCTTTTTCTGCATGACCAGGGCGAGCAACCTGACACTGTCGACTTACGGAGAAGGGGTTTTGGGACGCAGGTGGCGGGCAACATAGGGTGCCGGGTTCTAGGGTTTGGGAGAAGGCGTGGCGGGCAGTACAGTAGGGTTTTGGGTTGAGACAAGTGTAAGGGTGTTTCCTTTGGGGGTTAAGCCCTTTTGGCCAATGCATTCGCCTTTTCATGTTGAGAAAATCGATGGCTTGCGGCTTTCGTTAATTCTACGCCCTTTTCTCCTGTGGGCTTTTTTGCCTTCTCTCCAGGCTGGTGCCTTGTTCTTCTGCGCCTGCGCTAGCATCAATGCGGCTCCAGGTGGCTTTGCTTGCAGCCTTTTGGCCGGTGCTTCGATAGCCGTGCATTTTGGGAGTCTTGTTCCTTGCGCTAGTGGCCTGGTGAGTACAGCAGTCACCCAGTCTTTATGATGTCCATATGTAACCTGCATCTGTGATAATGATTGCAGAGCTGCCCTGCCCGAGGACGATCGCAGCAGTATTCGTTCGCTTTCCCGGAGAGGCAACGACGGTTGAGCGATGTGAGCGTCGTCGTGGGCCTTTCCCTGTAGCCGGACATCTGTGTGGCATGTGGAAGGCAGCGCAGCCTCGCGGGGGAGCAGAGCGCTAAGCGCTGCCATCAGCTGCTCTGCCAACGCCAACAGCTCAGCAGCTCAAAGCTCTGCCCATTGGCGTCGGGCAGGTTGTTGGTTACTCTGAGTCCTCAAGTCCATGCTGCGCAAGGCCTTGTTAAACACAAGCGGCGGAGCCTGCAGGCCAGGGGTCACGCAGCAAGCGGCAGCCTTTTGATGCCTTTCTCGGAAGAATCACCACTGCCGGCACTGTGCAGGAATGCATAGACAATGGATCGTAGCCGTGCCTCCGCCTCAGAAGAGAGTCGTAATCGTGAAGCTAAGTTGTGGGCCTCTCACAGTCAGTCTGCACCACAAAGCACTGACGAGATGGCATGCGATCTTGCGATTCGATTGCTTGTCTCAATCTTCGCACCCATGCTTCTACAGCATCCCTGCACCGTAAACGTACATTGGGCATAGCCCTTGAAAGAATCTAGTTCATTGAGAGTACCGTCTTCGCTCTCTCTGTCTCTCCCTCTCTTGTGACCCTCTCCGGTGCAGCCTCGATGAAAGCCGATGTCGAAGGCGGAGGTGCTCTGGCAGGTTGTCGGCGGAGCTGCTAGCGGCGGAATCGTGGTCCGAAGTGGTGCATCCCTGACAACGCAGCAAGCCGATCTTCGCTTGGCCAACGGTGCCATCGTGCAGCAGTTGGAGGCAAAGTCGGTGCGAGGCTCAGGGCGACTGCGCTATGAGCTGGTCCGTGGGACTGGGCCTAGCACTGGATGGGTGAGCCTCTGCCTGCACGGAAAGGACTTGCTTAAGAGATGCAGCGCGGTGCCGGAGAGTAGCAAGGATGCAGGCACTGAGCAAGTGCTTGCAAAGCTCCAGAAAGATATCGTGGCGAGTGCACCGGCTTATTCGAGGCTTGCCTGCACGGTTTGTATGTGATAGATCGCACGTAAGCTGGACATGTGAGAGCCGACGAGTGGAGAAGCTAGTGTCACGGTTTTGAGTCACAGCTCCCAGAAATCTGCTCCGCCTTCTTGTAGTCAGGATGTCCCCGACGCCCATGCCATGGGTGCCTCAAGGCACAGCTGCAATAGTCAGTTCCACATGAAGAGGTTCATGTGAACGCTTTGTCCTTCAGGATCCTCTGGCTGCACAAGCTACAAGGGACTCTCGGCTGCAGGGCAGTGAGCTGTTTTTCCGACAGGGCAACAGTATGCAAGAGTGTGACTCAATAGACAGCGTCGGGATTGGATGTACGGACTGAGGACAGTGCCCGACAGCACAGGACATCGCAAAGGGCTAGTGAGTGACCGGTGAGATTCGGATAGAGATATGGAAACCTTCGGTTCATGTTGCGGGATTCGTGGCGAGGAGGAAGTCATCGTTCGTTGATAAGCCATGATAAGCCGCAACCCTAGTCGCTACTCGACCGAATCCCCAAACCCAGGATTCTTTGGGGCTACGACTCGGATTGGAGGTGTCGAGCTTCTCTAAGGCACAGCAGTGGCCTGTCCCCACATTATCCCACATTGAACTGCGCGTCAGGAAGCAGGTGCCTTTGAACTGTCGGAACGCCTCGTGCTTAGACGATCGGGTGCCGAACATGCACTGGATTTTGTGCCAAGACTCCTCGCTGATCCGTGGGAGTTTGGGATAAACCTGGCCCTTCCTGCGCTTGAACACGAAAGAAGCCTCAGAAACGCCCTTGCTCGCTCGTATAGATTGTGAGCCTGGCTGCTGCTTCGCAGGAAGCAGCTTGGGACGCAATGCACCTCGGATGCAACACGATAATCAGAGATTTTTCAGTTGCTGGTGTGTTGAATTGCCACACACCACGGTTTTTTGTGATCGTCAGCATGTTCTGCACAGCAGAGGATGCCACCATCCCCCGCCACAGCCCCCCCCACCACCAACCCTCAGCACCATCACCATCATCGCCACCGGCGGCGGCGGCGGCAGCAGCAGCAGCAGCAGCAGCAGCAGCAGCAGCAGCAGCAGCAGCAGCAGCAGCAGCAGCACCACCACCACCACCACCACCACCACCACCACCACCACCGCCACCATCATA